AATTATTATTTTTAATTTAAAGAATCCTTTTATACAATAACAAACCTATCTTAAATCTACAAACCTTAATTTTAAAATGTTATTTGATTCTCGGTTGAAAGATTATTATTATTATTATTATTAAAATTTTGACCTTCAAATTAGTAAATACAATTAAAATATTAACAACTTTTAAAATGAAATATTATTTCTTTTACTCTTCTTTATAAAAATATTTATCCTTTCAAAATTAAATTACAATTATTATTTTTTATTTTGACGTCAAAGTAATAAAATTAACTTACTTGAATAGTGTGCACACCAAAATTTTATTTTTTACCAAAAATATCTGTTAACCCACACAAGCCAGAAAGGGATCTGTTCTAGGACTTGAAAAAAATAGCCCTTTCTTGGCCCCTACTCCTATCACTGTTTGAGTGTGTGGAGGGGCAATGGCGGTTCATTTAAATCTGAATGTGACATATATATATAAATTGTTGTAAGTTTGTAGGGGATGGGTGGTGCCAGAACTGTTTTCATTCTCGAGTTGATATTACCTCAACTGTCTTGGAGTTCGTGAATAGAATGTCTTACAGTTAAATTCTTTTTAAACATTTATGCAATTTCGAGTTGTTTTTATATTAATTTACTACAGAGCAATCAATTTTGTAAAGAAACAAAAATCAATTAAAATATATATGAAATGGCAAAATGTCTAATTAACACAAGACAATTAATTAAGGTTTTTAGTTGAGATGAAAAAAAGTTAGTGGCACGAGAAGGATTCGAACCCACGACCTTCCGCTAGATACGCCGCTGCTCTACCACCTGAGCTATCGTGACTTCGATCCACTCGACATCAACTCCCCATCTCAACCCCACCTTATGAGTTTTCCTTGAGATGGGGAGTTAGTTAATGTCCGAGTGGATCGAGGTCACGATAGCTCAGGTGGTAGAGCAGCGGCGTATCTAGCCGAAGGTCATGGGTTCGAATCCCTCTCGTGCCATTAATTTTTTTTCATCTCAACTAAAAACCTTAATTAATTGTCTTGTATTAATTGGTCAAGCGGACCACGAAAATAGTGAATTAATGTCTAATTAACGTTGCATGTAGGAAAAAAAGCGTTTTTTTTATAATAACACTAATAATATTTTATATAATTAAAACATACTTTTTGGTTGTAAATAGTCATACCCCCTATTTTACCACGGCAGCTAGATTTAAGCCGGCCAGTTTCGTGATCTGGCCTGATAATAGCCCCCATTTTAAAAAAATGTTGCGGTAGAAAAACCTGGCCGATTGAGGCGATTAGGTCCTCCATTCGCAGGGCTCCGGTAGTTAGCGATTTAATCTCAGCTTTTAAACACGGCCTCCATTAGTTCTTGGGTCATTCTCGGATGCATTCTACTTGCATGCGAGTGACTAACGACCAGTTGGCGTGGCATGGCGAGCCATTCGGTTTTGATCACGGATGTTGGAAAATCAAATAGTTCCGTATGTGCAACTTAGGGGGGGGGTTAAATTACAATACTATATTCATCATGATTATCTAATTTTAAAGATTTGTTGAGACAAGATTACAAGACTATATAATTTCGCTTTAGACGGATAATTTAAAAAAAATCTTAAATACATGATTTTCGTTTTATTTTTGTTAATATATCCAACGAAAAATGTATCAAAGAAGTTTGGCCATTGGAGTACAGTAAAGTGTTTTTTAAAAGAATTGTTAATCAATATATTTTTCGCTCTGCGAAATATCTATGGACTAAAAATACACGAAAACATAAAAAACGGCTGAAACTCTAAGATCCAATTAACTACCCCCTGACCTGCTATATATTACCCTTTGGGCTTTTATAAGAAAATTATTAAAGTAGGGAGTAAAAACACATTCCTCTGGGATCAGAATTTACTGCCTCCTCAGTGGAAAAGGATCGTCTGGAAACCTTTAGCCTTTCTACTTCGTTGAGATTTTCCGTTTTAGCGAGGTGTTAAAATTCTTTTATTTTAAGAATACATTTGTTCTATAAAATTCCCTTCTACATTTCAAAATTTTAAAAATAAATATTTCTTTTTTTGTCTAGAATAATGTTTATTGATTGAACATCTTGTTTTGAAAGTTATTCTTCCTGAAATCCTTCCACAAAAAAAGACTCAAATTGAAATCAATTGAAAAAACAATGTGTTATATTTAGTGACAGTTAATTAATGATTATTTAAAGACCGTGAGATGCGGTCTGGTGTGATGTAGGTTGGAAAAATAGGTTGTTTATCTTACCAACGTTTCGATCTTTACTGAGACCATGTTCAAAGCCTCAGGTTTATAAACATTATTTAAATTATACAAATACACGAATTTGAATATGAATACATGAATATGAATTTATTCAATAATGTACACAATATCGAAATTTTAGCTTCAATCAAGGTATTTGTACTCACTCAAAGAGTGTGTTTTCTGTGCATACATTTTGAGTGAAAACAAATAATTTGATTAACCCTAAAAGATCTTTATTTTGTACAACACTGTAAAAATTCGTATTAATAGCTTATACGAAATTGTATAATTGAAACAATGTTTATAAATCCTAATTTAACATGCTCAATTTTAATAACTCACAATGAGAATATTGTGGAGAAACGTCACGTGCTTTTCGGCAGTTTCAATTTTTTTCTACCCTCAAATTACGAAATGCGAAAGAAGCTAATTGGAAACGATTGATCTAATAATTCAAAAATGATTTACCCTAACATCGCCTGTTATATCAATTGTAATTTT